TAACCTTCCGCCGCGCCCTCAAGACATGGCTTTTTCAACAAGCGGGCCTGACCTAGGGTGAGTTTTAAATAGGGATAATTTTTAATGATTTTAAAGTTTCAGGGGATTTTTAAGGATAATTTTAATTGATCGGCCTGTTTAAATATTTCTTTTTAATTCGGCTTTTAATTATTGTATTTGTATTGTAGTTTTTATGAGGTTGTTAGCCGCCCTGAGTCCCATGAGGAGAAGGGCGGGGTATAAATTAAATTATAAATTATAAATAAATAAACCTTTAACATGAAAAAATAAAGACGTAAAGCATATAAGCCAAATTTTAAATTAATCTGTACTATGCATATTAACTCGGGTGCCAAACAAAAATTTTAAACCATATTTAGTTGTGGCTGTTAAAAAGGTCCTTAGAGAAACATGCTTTATCACTATTGCTTACCTTGTCTGTGACCCTCTTTTCAAAATTTCTTAGCTGCTAAAATTAGTGTTCAAGCAATTTGGCTCAAAATGTTTACTGAACTTTAGCTTCTAAAATGTTGAGTCTTACTTGTTCTCAATTTTGCTAGGCTAAAATACATGAGAAAATGGAAAAACTGTGTTCAACAACTAAAGGGGTCTGTGATCTAGAAACATACCATCATGCAGGAGAACCCAAGGCACCATTATTTCACACATGGCCTGTTTCCTATTTCTGTAAGTAAATCTGTCTTTTTGTTGAGGACAGTTTATTTGAAAGTGATAACAATGAGTCAGTAGCCCTTGAAACCTGTCCTTCATAAATTTATCAGATCTCTTTAGTCACATGTAAAAAACAAATGTCCATATCTCTTTCTGGTTAGCTTCATTGGATGATTTTTGGTTGCATTTCCTTACCAACTTGTCTACATTTGCAGTTTTATATCCCTCTTCTCCCTCTCAGTTGCCTTATTGCAACCTAAAGAATCTGAAACATTCTAATCCTTTCATTAGGGAAAATGTTCTATACTTTATTCATTTTGCTGTCTTCACTTTTTTCAGTTTTATTATATCATCATAGAGTTGGAAGAGATCTTGGAGGACATCTAGTCCAGAGTTCCCTAACTTTTCCAGGTTGGCGGCCTGGAGGGGGGGGAAGAGAAGATGGTTTTGTGGGAGGGGCAGACGAGTGTGCATGTGCATCCGTTGCTCGTGCGAGTGGGGCCAAGAGCACCTGTGACTTGCATGACGCGGCTTTGCAAAACAAACTATTCCAGTTCTAAAGCTCTCACAATCAGGAAATTTGTCATTTCTCTCTCTCTCTGTTAAGGTTCCACCTGTTTGTTCTTGTCTTACTTCAGGCACCAAAGAGAATAAATCCAGTTCCTTTAATTGTGCTTTGTAGGACTTACCAACTTTATTCATCTCCTTTGCACTCTTACCTTCTTCTTGGGCTTCCCCTTCTTAATTATCTAATAGCCCAATTAACCTAGTCACTGTGACAAGATTAAATGCCTTGCTGATCTCTGATGAGTAAATAAATGTATTCAGATTGGTTGAACTTTAGTTATGTCGGGAGAATATTTCATCTAATAACTGCCATTTTCAAGATTCTATATTGTAAATTGAAATAGATGTATCCTACAGTTTAAACCAAAATTATCAGTTGTATAAAACCTTGCACAAAATTTCAGAATTTACAGTTTTTCTATTCAATAATTAATATTGTAAGGTTTTAAACTAAATTGTTATGTATTGAGGTGAATGTGTAGTAAATTCATAGGCATACTGTTTTCTTGGCAGTAATAAGATTCAAGTGCTAATCATGTCTGATCTACTTTAGATTCCAAAATCAGCCAAATTTTATGCAAGTACTATGTTGCAGGATGCTGAGAAATGTGTCACAAAAATAGGATATGAAAGACAATACAGGACCATTTCTTTTGATTTCTTTTTCAGATGATATCTCCCTCAAGCTCTTAGATATGTATTCGCAGGAACTAAAACTCAAGCACACCATTGTGGAAGAAATTGCTCATACTGCTGACCAAGATCTACTGATGGTCTATTTATCATCATGGTTATATCAGCCCTACATTGACAACAGCAACATTGTTTTATTAGAAAGTATGTTGCTAGAAACAGGGCACAGGCAGTTATAACTTTGCCTATTTATTTCATATATCACCTTAAACCTTTAAGTAGCAAGAGATATAGTGCTAATATTGTTATGGATTTATATTTTATTACACTTTTATTTGCAGCTTATTTATAATAAAATTCTTGCATTTTTATGATTTATAAAGCTGTTTTTTGTTCCATATATCACAAAGCACAGTTTCATTCTGTTTTGAAATATATTATGAGCAACATGGTTATTTTCAGAATAATGTATAGTTTATCTGGGTATGTAACTGAGCTGTCAGAAAATTAGTGATATCTAAGTAATTTAATCCTTCCCTAATATTTATAACATATCAATATGTGGGAGTAGTTTCCTCAATCTCCTCAAACTGGATAAAAGGTATCAAGGAAAATCTACAATCTTGTACACTTCTCCACTTATATGAAAATAAACCTGCATAATTATATATATTGTACATAAATATACACAATGTGCAGAAGATATAGTTTCTCTACTTTCAGACTCATATCTTAATTAAACATTACTACTGGCATATAACTTATGACGCTTTGTGATTAATACAAGAAAACAAGCAATAGAGTAAAAACTTCAGATTGTGCACATCAGATTTACAAATATGCCAAAACAGAACAATTCCTGAATAGGGTAGTTATTTAACATGTGAGTGTTCAAGTCATCATAAAAAAAATTACAAAAACCTAGCAAGATCAGCACGGTTCCCTTCCATTTTCGGCAACATAGTTACCAGATGAAACTCTCTTATGATAGTATCCTAGTATGTAACTGTTCAGTATCTGTTCAGATTGTATTTATAATCTCTGTTTTGACTTCTTTCCTCCCAACAAAATGTTGGAAAGATTATGTTAAGGAAATCAGAACTCTGTCAGCAGGATGACTCTCAAACAACTGAAGAGAATGGGGACAAATTTGCTATAATAAGAGATTCCAGCCAAATAAAGATGATGTCCAAAAATGGGCCAAATCTGGCATGGAATTTACAAAGAAAATAATTCTAGGAAAAAATCCCCAATGCTTCCTTATGGGAAAAGGGAGAGGGAATGGTGCATCTAATCCCTTCATCCTGTACCCCAGGTACTGAGGCTATGAATTACTATGTTACATAAAAAAATAAACAGATACCTCTTATAGTCACTGCTATAGTACTTGTAAAGAATTCAAGAACTATGCTGTATATACTTTCCCTAACTTGTTTAGAATTGCTATTATGTGGTATGATGCATTATAGCACACTTAGTCATTTCCAAATCACCTTTGTGTGGATTATTTCATGTTATTTTTTTAAGGGGCTGTTGCTTAGGCTTTTGCCTGGGATATAAAAGGTCATGTACACAACATGCTAAACTCAGTTAAGGCTTATCAAGATGCATAATAAAGTGGCTCTTCCTCAATCAGGTATGGCTAACAAACTGCAGATATCATCCTCATAGCTAGTTTAATATTCAGTGCAATTAAGGAGTCCTGACTTGTTCCAGAAACAAGCTAAGTCCCTAGTTTAACCAATATATTTTTAAAAAACACTTCCAGAAGCTCCCCATATTTTTCCTGTTTCTAGGAAGAGCGGATATGGACATGAAAAGATGTGTTTTTAAGTGCAAATGTAGTCTATCAGTGCATATGCCTCACAAACTTCAACAAACGTAATTTAATTTAGGCTTTAAAACTCCCATAAAGCATGATATAAATTATTCATTTTTTTATAATATAGCTTTATGTCATACTCTTCACTTCCAAATACTTGAGAGTCTAGGTATTATGGATTAAAAATGTTTTCAGTGTAACTTGGATTAGGGAAAATTAACAATATATTTTACAATTGCAAGTATGTAGAATAGGTCACATCTGAAAATGTGAAATAAATGAATTTTTACATTTAAACAAGCCATTTATAGATGTGTGTGTGTGTGTATGAAAACCTTGGTTATCTGTTTATTATCCTAGAATAGGTGATGTTTTAAAACATTAAAATGATTCAATATCAGGAACAATCTGTAGCACTTTAAATCTCAAATAGCTTTTCTACATTTTAAAAAGGTAAAATTGAATTGGAAATCTGATAGAAACAGCAATCTGTAAAGCACTTTTTTTCAAGTTTATTCAGGATAGCATACACAAGAATTTAAATGTTCATTTTTAAAGGAATTCTGGCAGCTGTCCTTAAATTTATACAATACTTTAGGTAGCCAAGCATTAATATATCCATAGCAATTGGTGCAATATATTTGTCTCTTAGGAGAAATTCGTTTTCTATTAATTCCCTATAGTATCACTGATTAAGCTCCTCATTAAGATTGTATTTTAGGTGCTGCTAGCTTTCCTGCAGAATTGGCTCATTCAGCCATTATGAGAATATTGACTCTTAGGAAGCCAATACATCTTCTCTTATGCAGACAAAAGCATGTGCAAGTAGGGACAAAGTGACAAAAGTGCATTGTGATATGATGCAAACTCTATAAGTTACGTAATTGTGGGCAATATGGCAATGCAACTACAAAAGCATAACGCTTGCATGGTAGCATCCCAATGCATGTTTTATCATGTTGGCGTCATGGTTAGAAAAAGACAACCTGCTCCCGAATACCTGAAGAGAAGACAATATTATTAGGACCAGATTAGCAAAGGGGGAGGAAGATTATCATTCTAAGGAGGTAACACCTAAACCTGGATATTTTTAGAACTTGTGGTATATGTTAAATATGGACAAGTTTGTGGAACTAAAAAAAATCATATTTAATATACATTTCAGGTAGACTTTCAAAACTGCTTCAAAAATATTTTTATAATGGCTTAAGTTTAGTATCACTGCTAGAAGTACTGCAACTTCCAAATAATTTTTAGAAATATACATAGCAGCAGCAAATTCTTTCACAAACAGATGTATAATATATAGTACCAGGAAGAAGCAAAGCCTATACCCACAAGAAAAGTTCCTAGTTTCCATAATCTTCAACATTATCATGTTGTACTTAATATATTCTTGTTTTCTTCCACTAAAATACTTCCACTATTAAATTAATTAATCATATATTTTCAAGGAAGGATGAAGCTAGTCCATTCAATTTCCTGAGATCTAAACTGATGAACTGTTCCTGTGATGTTTAATACTGTTGAAACTATTAAAGTTTAAGAAAGTTCAGAATATGTTTACAGAAAGCATTTTTTCTTAAGTTCTTGATATATTTTACTGTTTTTTCATGAAGAAACCAAGGAATAATGATGACTGTATTTTTCAGATGTTTCAAGAGATATAATAAGTCATTTCATTTACTGTGTCCCAACGTGAATTTATCTTTGTTCTTCTTGTGAACTATTGTCAGATGGGCATCTCAAATAATCTAATCCTGGTATATTTACAGGCTGTAAATGTTCAATTTTTCCTGAGTGTGTTGATCATATAAATCTGTATTTGCTTTATCATCTACAATTCTTGGTTGGAGCAATTCATATTCTTTTTTTCCATATTCTTGCAGAACATTTTTGCTGCATGTTTCTAAAATGTAAGAAAACACAAAAATACTGTAATTTAAATATATTTTAAAGAATAATCTATATAGCTTTTTGAATATAGAACACTGCAAGATAAGATTTCTTTCATTATGCATAAAATTTGGTATTTTTATTGAAAAATGTGAATATAAATAAATATAAATAAATAAATAAATAAATAAATATTTGCCAAAATGAAAAAGGTGTGTAAAGTAAACTGTAAATGTATGAAGTAGCAATTGTAATCACTAACTAATCTCAAAGCTGTACAAAGCTGTTGGCTATAGTAGTGGAAATCGTCTGCCCAAATATAACAAGGCTTCATAAGATATTTCCAGCACCTCTCCATCTGTTTATTTTCTTTATTTAAAAATATCTGTAATTTGCCCTCAAACGGCCTCCCAGGAATTTTTGCACTTGACTTTGTCATAGTGCTAGGACATAAGGTGTGTTTTGCATGCATAAAACATAGGGTTGTGATTTTCATTTCATCTATATTCTACTGCGCCTGATTGAATTCTATCCTCTAGAGGCCACAGGTCTTGAAGAATGGTTTCTCATATAATATTTGGAATGGAAATCCCCATCTATTCTCAAACCCATGAATAAGCAACTGCAGACTATTTTCCAGTTGGTAGTAAAATAGGAAAGTAGAGGTAGGCAAGTAATAAATGAAGGAATGGAATAATGTATTTCCATATAGGAGAAAAAAAATATCACGTGGGCAACTTTCTAGTGCCCCATCCATGCTTGCAGCTGACTCTATTTGTTAATATTAATGGTACCTCTTCCATGTGAAAGCCCTGGGCAAATGTTCCATTCTCTATCAAGAAACCTGGTAAACATTACACTTTAAAAAAACATCTGCAACAAAACAGCACTCAGTATAAACCATGAATTTAAAAAAATAACTGATTATTTAAAACATTTATGTAGCTGCCCATCTTATAATCAACTCTGAGAGGCTCCCAATTAAAAAGCTATACTAGCTTTCAGGCAAATCAAATATTTCTATCATTTAGTGACCATATGGCAGTTACAATGATCATAAAGTAAGCATTGATGATTTTCACAGAACTATGGAGCAAAGAAAAGCTGAAGTAAAGCCATAAACACAATCGCAGTTTCACTTAGCAATTGTTTAACCACAGAGTTAAAGGTTGCTAAATGAGATTAACTTTGTAGCCATATGATACTCTTCTACCCTTTTAACTATTTGCACCTCATTTTATGAAGATAAAACAATTTTTAAAGTTCATCTTGATTTTATTCCTTTATTCCTCCTTAATTTGAATGTTCAATATTAATTTTCTCAAAAATGTTTTCCTCTCTGGTCTTTTTTGGCAACTTTTCATTTAAACTCTGTTAACAGAGATGAGGGAAAATAACCTCATCAACACACATTTCCAATATCAGTAAATGTTGATTTACTCTTGAATACAAGAAAAACTCAAAATTTAGGGAGGAAAACTATTGCATAATCTCATTTGGCAGATAAGAATAAAAATGAATTATTAAAACTGATAGTGTTTTGCAAAAGTTCAATTTTTTTTACTCCAGCTGAAATACATAAGACAAAACAAAAGACAGACAGGAGTAGATAATGCTTACACCTACTGTTGACTACAGTTGCCATTACCTGCAACTAAAATGGTTAATGGCAGGAATCAGAATAACTGTAATCCAAAGCAAGTGATTATTCACACCCTAGCTCATTCAAAGGAAACATTCTAATACTAATTCTATTATTAAGAGAACATTAAGGAGCAACACAGTGTAATAAAATATTATACCCTTTTAATATAGGCAAAGTTCAAATTTGCAAAAAAATAAATGATTTTCAATTCATTTCTGATACTTAGTAGAAGATAAATTTATAAAAAATAAAAGCATCATGCTTATAATCTTATGACAACATGACGAAAATTGTTTATTTTATACCTCAGCTGCTCATTTCTGTCCTGAAATATGGAGCAATATAGGGTCATCAGTAGATTCAGTACATTCAGGAAAAGAATTTGTCTGGATTTTTGGCACTTCAAGACAACTATCTGTAATTCCTAGTGATTCAGCTACCTTTAAACACAAAAAAGAAAAACTTCACTGAAAATGCCATCCATAGAAAATAACCAGTCATTTCTGTTTGTTATATGCTAAAGACTTCACACTTTTTCTAAAATCTAATGCAATGATTTACTTAGGGCTTATCAAGCATCTTACTAATAAAAGAAAATCCAAGTTGAGTAATTAAGTTTGTCATAACACCTGCTTCACTCATTTCAAAAATAATCCTTCCAGAATGCTTTACGTGATATTCATGTATCTTTTCTCCTACATTTCCCAATTTTTAGAATTAATCAAAATATCAAGAACTGTGGGTTAAGATTAGGGTTTTGGTTTGACTAAAAGAATTATTATATAATAATGGAAGGAGAAATGTATACCTGATTGACCAACATATATACTATGTATTGTTTGTCAATGCTTGAATTCCTCCAAAAAGGGGCAAGGAAAAACCTTTGAGCAATACCTTCATTTTTGGCATTGTTTTCTTTATGTGAGAAAGTTTTGAGGTTGTCTTGATCTTTTATGTTTTTATTCTTACGTTGTTGGTTAGTTCAGCATAGCAAAACAAAATAATAAGTGTTCATTCTATTTGTTTTATTTAAGCAGATCAATTTGCAGAGATTATATTGGGACAATTTATTGTATTCATATCCTGCTTATTTTCTTTATAACCATTTGATGGGTCATTATAGAAACAGAATATTGATCAAGCAGAGTTTATGTAAAGATGAAAGAATGAATATATAGAGTAATTTGATCAAAACAACTTTGCCAATCTCATTGCTCTTATTTTCATCGTTCATTTCAATAAACCACATTGCAAGTATTTTCATTTTCTTTTTTAAAGAAGTGCAGTATCCATTTTATCTACACATAATTTGATTGAAAAAGCTTTTGCTAATAGAAAAAATCCAAATTATTCTTACCTTGTGGTTTTTTATTTCTAATTGTTGCTTTAATTCAGAATTATTAAAATAATCTTGACTCATTTTCTTTACCATTGAATGGAGCTCTTCAAACTCCCGGTAAACATCTGGAAAGACTGCTTTTGTTCGACATTTTTTCTCTGCCTGATCAAAAACAAAAGCTACATAAAAGTATAAGCAAGCTCACAAATAAAAATTAATTGCATATTTCATTTACAATCTTTTATTTCTTTTCCATTTCTGTTATAATGGAACTGGCTTCAGCTGATTATACATACTGTATATACTTTTCTAATACTACTTAGCAGACTCTTTGAATCTTTCCTTGGAAATCTCATTTTCTCTTAGGTAGAATCACACTTGCCTTGCTGTCAATAGATCAAACTCTTTCTACTTGCTCGAAAATATGGTTTTGTGTAAAATACCAACTTTCAAAGACTTGCCTTCATCAGTAGGAATTCAAATACAGTAACAACTGTTGTCAGACGTGGAATCACCAACTCCATAAACTCTTCGTTGGGACACTGCTGAATCAGCTATTAAAGAACATAATTTATTTAGAAAAGTCATAAAGTGTAGATAAATAATAAGTAATAATATAGGAACAGTACCTCTTTTAGCTTAGCTTTTCTTTTAAATGCATTAAGATTCTCTGCTGAGATACTATTGAGAGAATTGGAAGATAATTGACCAGATCTGCTGAATGTTGTAGAACATCTTGATCTATTAGCCATCTTTGGTTGATAAGATCTTCTCTGCCGTTTTCTTCTTCCAGGCCCCAAATGGGTGCTGTATGGTTCTTCAGACTTTCTATCTTCTGCAGAAATATCAGACTTCAAAAATGTTCATTAGAATTGTTTAAAATGTTTTGCTTTTATATATTCATTCAGTCTGAAATTATAGTAACAAATCTGCATTGTCACCATATAAAAGGTAGTTAAAACCTCTCAAAGATAGCAAAGGCATTTTTTGAAACAAAAAAAATGATGATATGGATAAAAAATGTTGAAATATAGTATTGTAAAAAGCAAAAATGTGCTGACAGCAATAAAATTGCAAACTTTTTCAAATTGTGAAGTGGTAAGCTGTAGATTTTTATTTCATATTTGATGATTATGAAAGCAATAGCCATCAATGCTTCCTGCCACCCTGCATAGAATAAATACTACTCCTTTCTCCTCATGCTTCCTAACTTTAGATTAGAATAATTTAAGGCCCTTGTGTATGTTAAACAAACTATAAATAATTACATTTAATGCCTGGAAGTGAGGAAGACTAAAGGAATATATTTGAAGGTGAAAGAAGAAAAAACAATTGCTGATCTGCTGCTCAGCACTAAAAAAAAGAAACAAGATGTCCTGCTCTTTGGAACATTGAGATTCTGTATGTGGACATAAATGATGGGAGCAAAGAAAAAAGAAAAGTCAATAGGCAAAGTCAACCCAGTACAAATAGGCTGAGAGGCTAAATTGTAACAGACTTTTCTTCTTAGCCTCAACAATTCATAGGGATGGTGACATGACGATGAAATACATATTTGCCACGGTGAGAAGATGAAATAGCTCTAGACAAAATATTAAAGTGCAGAAATAGCACACGGACAACAAAAGTATTATCAAGATTATGGTTTTTCCAAGGCTAACACATGACAGCTGGACCATTAGCATGTGTGAATGAACAAAAATGCATGTCTTTGAACTAAGATGCTGGAGGAAATTGTCAAGAATCCCTTCAGCCATTAGAAAAGAAATAATTAAGTACTAATGAAACAAAATGAAATTTTCATTGGAAGCATTAACCACAAAGCTAAAGTTTAAATGTTCTGGGTGCAAATGACTCGTTAGAAAAGTCACTGTTGTTTAACAAAACTGAAGACAATTAAACAAGTCAACAGAAGGCAAAGTAGTTATACAGGTAGTCCTGGACTTATGACCAGCCATTTAGCAACTCTTCAAAGTAAAGCAATTCTGGCTTTCATAAAAGTTTGCTCCAGCACCGCGCGTTGCCGTGCTTGGCAGCTGACTCACATTTATGACTAGTTGCCAAGTGCCCCGTAATCATGTGATCACTTATTGCAATCTTTTCTGGCAGCTTCCCTAGAAATTCAGTGGAGAAGCCAGTAAGTTGTAAGGATTTGAGGTCTGTTCCATCATGGCACCAGGGGATTTCATCTCATTTCTAGGGCTAGAAATCTAGCGAACAGCACTGTTCTGAAAGAAACAGTTAGAAAGCAAGCTGCTTGCAGTTAGAAAATTTGAGTTACAAAGATATAGATATGCTTAGAAAGGTATGGAGAATGGGGGCTGCTAGTAAGATGGCATAAGGTGGCCTTGGTAGGAAGACCATGCCTCATATCAGCTGGATGTATCTGCAGTTACAGAAAAAGGCAGGGCTAAGTGGATCTGGGGGTGGGGTGGGGGCAGAGAAAGCACCCATCACCCTGGCACTTAATGACCTGCCTAATCACTTAACAACTGCAATTGTAAGAGCTCTTCCAGTTGTGATTGTTAAGTGAATTGTTTTACTCTGAACAGTTTCTAAGTGACTGGTTATAAGTTCAGGACTACTTGAATAGCTACTTCATCTTCTGTTGACTTGTTTAATTGCCTTCAATTTTGCAAACTTCAGGGACTTTTCCAAGAAGTCATTATGCATTCAGCACATTTAAGCATTAGCTTTGTGGTTAATGCTTCCAATGAAAATTTCATTTTGTTTCATCTAGTATTTAATTATTTCTTTTATTATGGCCGAAGGGATTCTTGACAATTTCCTCTAGCATCTTAGTTCGAAAACATCCATTTTTATTCATTCAGGCGTGCTAGTCCCAATTGTTGAGGATTACCTATATATTATCACTGACAACACAGAAGAGATTACATAACTCAAAGAAGCAACTACTGATAAACAATCCTGGCAAATGATGTTCATTAAGTCATGAAAGAAAGGCCTATATTAATATTTTATTTTAACCACATTTTAAATTTGTATATTGTATTGTTATTCTGTTTTAAACTGGCTGTAAGCCGCCCTGAGTCCACTAGGAGAAGGGCGGGGTATAAATGCGATTAATAAATAAATAAATAAATAAATAAATGAAGAGTTGCAAGTGACGAAACCATCAGACAACCACAATAAGTAACACTAGGTGTTTTTTTTAAGTTTTTATCCCTTTATTATTTTTATAAATAACTAAAAAAAGAAACATACTAATACTCCTTCCTATTTTCCACACAACAACCCTATAAGGAGAGTTGGGCTGAGAAAGAGTGACAGATCCAAGTCACCCCACCCACTTTCCTGTCTAAAACTGGACTAGAACTCCTTGTTTCTTACCTGCTGCTTTAACTGGCTAATCCTCAAGACTACCTGTTTAGCCATTAAGTCTTCTGTTCAAGATCCAGGAAGTGGAAATTTAAAATATGATTTAAACTTATCCTATTTCTACACTTTGAATTGATACCAAGGGGATGGTTAACATAACTCTGAATCAGCTACGGTGTGTTCATGATATACCTGCGCTCCGTGGTTATATTCTTAGTATTTGGAATTTGGATATTAAGATTTGTGCTTTTGGAGCCCAACGTTGAAGGAAGAAGAAATCTACTTGTGATTTGCAGCAGTGGATTGTTAATATTCATTTTTTTTTCTTTTAAACAAAACACTGAGGAAGAGGATTTCAACAAAGGAGGGGAACTTGTGCTCTCTGACCTTGGTTGTTTTCTTGCAGACATTTCATTACTCAAACTAGATAACAACACTAGCACAAAATCACTAGCACTGATGATGTTACCTAGTTTAGGTAATGACACGTCTACAAGGAAACAACCAAGCTCAGAGAGCACAAGTACCCCCCATTTCAACCCTGAGCTACAAACATTCTCCTTTATTGATAACTTCAACAAATAGTCATTTTCCCAAGAATGAAGGAGAATATACGTGTCCCAGGATAATGTTGCAGGATCCAATCTGTGTCGGTCACCAGGACCAGGGGTTTTGTCTTCCGAGTTTTTTGAGCTAGCTAGAAATTCCCTGAAGATGGGCTGCAGCATGAGTCCAACACAGATGGGATCCTGCAATAGTCATTTTTTTTTAGAATTGTTATATTTATAATTAGCCAGATTTCTTCCCCCTTTTATCTGTATGATTATTTTGCAATTATATTATTTTACTAATTCTCTTGTTTCTATTCTTTTCTTTTATTAATTGGTTTAGCAGGGTTTTTTTTAAATAGTGGCTGGGATATCACTCTTAAATGATAGCACCAGATTAGAGTTCATTCTCTTTAAATTTATTAACAAAGAATATGTATTACCTGCTGTTCACCTTCTGTTTGAAGATTTTTTTCCAAGTCTGTAGCTAGTCCATTTTTGCTTAGTAAAGCCAGAGTAACTGGTAAAGGTGAAGAAGGTTGATGGTTGCTTTCACAATTTGCCTTTTCAGCACACTCCAGCTCTGACATTCTAGAAAATCTCTTTATAGGAGAAGATTCTGAAGACTCTCGGTGCCCATGGCCTGGATTTATTTTGTAGTGCCTTGATAATCCGCCTTTTCCTATGTAGGATTTTTCACAGTTCTGACACTTAAACAATTTTGGTCGCAGGTCATAGTTAAAGGGGTTAAATAATTCACATACTTCCTTTACTTTGTTGCATTCA